TTATGCTTTTGCATAATTGCTTCTGCCCTAATACTATTTTGATGATATACAAAAATAATCGGTAGACTTCAGTTATCCGGAAGTGTCAGTCGACTAGTCTAGCTATGTTGAAGTCTTGACGGTCAATTACTGATGCAAATATGAGACGATCCCAAGTCAAACTTACCGTTCGGGCTTAATCTTTTTCGAAAATAAATGCGCATTTGACATTTGTTGAGAATTGTGGTTGATTGCAAAGGTTTGAGGCACAAGAGATATGAAAGTTTCCGGACTATCACTATCGAATTTGAGTAAATTTTACAATTTTTAAAGTTAAAGCTAACGAAAATTTTTGTAAGTGTTTAATACTTAAAACGAGCATGAATCAAGACTCAGTACTTTCACCATTTGTGGTCATAAGATCAATTTAACGAAACATTTAAACTTCATTTCTCATTTAGCTGTGATAAAATCTTCATATTTGTTTACCATTTCGTCACACAAGCGCTTGTCTATCTTTTGACAATCAAGAATCAGTCCAATCTTCATAGCGTAAACTTCGAATACCCCTTACTTCGCTCTATGCAGGACCACTATTTTCGCAGAATGGTACGTTCTGCTGGCAATACTTCCATATTGGCTGCCGATTGTCTAACCAAAAATTCCAGATTTTCTTATTCACAAGGATGGATGGGAATTTTATAAGACTTGGGTAAGAGTTTGATAAGAGTAACACACGAATGAAGTGGTAAATCAGATTGTTATCAACTTCTTGAATAACTCTTATGGCTATTTTACACGATTCTTACAAGTCTCTTACAAAATTCCATCCACTTTCCTGCTTAATCTTGTTTAGCACTTGTATAAGGACACGATAAGATTCCTATCCATGTTGGTACAAAATGTATTACTAGGTCATTTCTGATTGGCTTATTCTGATCTTAATTCTAAAAATTGAATCATGGTTTATTAGAATGGAGTTTATTAGGAAAATTGACAACCGACAGTTTTTCAAGTGATTTTTCTACGTAGAGAAACTCTAATGAATATTTTAAAACACATGTCCCCGATAATATCCTACACGACGAGTAGGAGCTTTAAGCGGCTTTTTCTTACAGTATGTCTGAGATAATTTGTAACTATTTTGGCGCATAGCAAGGGACAATTGATTCAAATGATAACTTTATAATTTCATATGTACCACTGATTGGATTGGATGGATGACTTTTTACATTTGAAAGTGAACGTGATCGAAGCTTCGCAGTGTTTTCTGCATAAAATTTTATTTTGCAAAATACAACAAAATGTTTAACATCATTTTATAGAGAATTAGAGACAGCGCACATGTTGAAAAAAGGCTTATTCTTTATCGACTAATGTTGAAAAGAAAAGTAATAAACGACTAATGTTAAAAATCGGTTAAATAATTTTCCACCGTATGTAAATATTGGTTCATTTAATATTTTTCTTTAATTAAACACTTTTCCTTTATTTTGAAATAATTAAATATTTTTTTATCTTACAACAAGAAAAATATTCATTACTTCAGACAAAAAGATGTCTAATTGGTTTTTAATATTGGTTGTTTAACATTTTTCGGTATACCCGTCGGCGTAATCGAAGGTAGCAGCGAAGTAGAAGTTTTTCACTCTGCTCGACATATTTATAGAATTTTAAAACCAGTTTTAATCATAATGAACATACTCCTGTAATTCCGCCAGATTCTGGTGGAATTTGAATTCGAGCTGTACCACAATTTGGGTAGAATCTGATCGGAATCCAATTCAATGGCATCTCCTCAATCTGAACGTTTAGCAATTGGTGCTGCCATCTTCGAAAGAAAATTAAACGATATCGATAAACGAACTGATATTTTGAATGAGCAATTAAACAAAATAACAGCAACATGTGAAAAAATCGTCGAATTTCACAGGCAATTTGAAAAGTTTATGAAAGATAAGGCGCTCCAAATTCAGAATGCAAGCAGCATCAAACATACATCATTCGATGCAAAATTTTACGCTCATCATGAATATCTTAGTTAATTTTTCAAAAACTGTCGCTTTTTCATTTTTTGAATTCGATAAATGTCGCGCACTGAAAATTTCTTAACTAAAATATTCATGATGAGCGTAAATTTTGCGTCGAATGATGTATGTTTGAATCAAAAATGAGAATGCTGCTTGCGTTCTGAATTTGGAGCGCCTTATCTTTCGTAAACTGAGATTCGGCGAATGACATTGACAACATCGCCATACGTATTGTTTCGTTCGCAAACTCATCAACAATAATTCTATATGCTGCATTTGTAATAACTCCTCTCCTCTACAATAGAAGGCCATGACCCTTAGATCACCATGGCATAGCTACATGAATGGGGGGCAAAGTGTTGATAGTCAACCGCTCTTCGAATTGCGGGACGCATAACCGAAGTTGTAAAGACAATTTGTGAAAGAAACTTGGCCATAGCAGCACTCTTCGGAAGAAGAGTGCTGTCTCGCGTTGGCAAAGCTACCATACTCCTCACTTAAGAAGCATGCTTTAGTTGATCCCCAGAATACATCTGTAAGACAGCAAGCAGTCCTGCAATAAAGATAATATGTCCTGTAATCTATATTCACTGAAATGAGCTGTTACAGTAAAAAGATATACAAAGTGTGCACGCGAAGTATTTCATTATACTGAGATTATTACAAGTTTAGCATCACCATCATCTACAGTTACAGGAGAAACTGAAACTGCTGGCGGCACGGGAGTAGCGATATTATTCTTCATTACTAATTTCCGTTGAATATATGGCCACCAAATGTATCAACGCACCAAAGACACAATTAATGGTACTCGAAATTTGTAAATCTAACTCTGCCAACTAAACCAGCGATTGTTCTAATGATAAATACCGGCCTACTTAAAAATCGGTGTATCCTGGAGAACGAGTTTCGAAAAATCTTTTGAAATCCCTTGAAGATCTTGAAAATCATTCCACCAGGTTGTACTGGGGTTTTCACCTAATTCATTAGGTTTTAGCTAACTTTGGATCAACCTTAATTAATTCTCCTTCTTTTGTCATCAAAGTTAGACGCATCAGTCTCATTATCTGATTCTTGTTGACGTAATTCAGATGGTGTTATTGCAACTGGCTTACGTTCTATGAC